AAAAAAAAAAAAAAAAAAAAAAAAAAAAGATTCACCTATTTACTGCTTACAAGAGACTCACTTTGACCTAAAGATACATACAGCCTGAAAGGGAAGGAATGGAAAAGATATTCCATGCAAATGGAAAAAAAACAAATGAAAAAGGTTGAGTAGCAATACTCACATTGAACAAAACAGACTTCAAAACAAAGAATGTAACAGGAGACAAAGGCAGACATTATTACATAATGATAAAGGGATCAATGGATCAAGAGGCTAAAACAATTATAAATAGAGTATTATCTAAATATATAAAGGAAATATTAACATATAAAAAGAGAAAATGTAAGTAAAATAATAATAGTAGGTCAATTTAACACCCCACTTACATCAATGAATAGGTCATCCAAACAGAAAATCAGTAAGGAAAAGTTGCTATGAATGACATATTAGACCAGAAGGATTTAGTAAGATATATAAATGGGCCATTCTGTCCAAAACAGCTGAGTACACATTCTTTTCAAGTGCACATGTAATCCTGGAATTCAGGATACCACAAAACAAGTCTCAATAAACTGAAGAAAACTGAAATTATATCAAGTATCTTTTCTGACCACAAAGGTATGAAACTAGAAATCACTAACAAGAGGCGGGGAGGAAAAACACGAACACATGGAGGAGAAACAACTAAAGGGTCAATGATGAAATCAAAGAAGAAATAAAAAAATACATGGAGACAATGAAAACAAATACAATGGTTCAAAATCTCTAGAATGCAGCAAAAGCAGTTCTAAGAGGGAAGTTTATAATGCTACAGGCCTACCTCAAGAATTAAGAAAAATCTCAAGCAATCTAACCGTACATGGAAAGGAACCAGAAAAATAACAAAGTCTAAAGTTAGTAGAAGTAGGGCAATAACAAAGCTCAGAGCAGAAATGAAGGAAATAGAGACTAAGAAAATAATAGAAAAAAATCAATTAAACTAAGAGCTAGCTCTTTGAAAAGATAAGCAAAACTGATAAACCTTTAGCCAAACTCATCAAGAAAAAAAGAGAGGACTCAAATCAATAAAATCAGAAATGAAAGAGATGTTACAACTGACATACTTTGAAATTCAAAGGGTTGTAAGAGAATTCTAGGAAAAACGATATGCCAATAAATTGGAGAACCTAAAAGAAATGGAAAAATTCCTAGGAACATATGATCTTCTCAGGCTGAATCATGAAGAAATAGAAAACCTGGACAGACCAGTTATGAGTAATGAAATTGAATGTGTAATCAAAAAACCTCCAACAAACAAAACTCCAGGGCCAGGTGGATTCACAGGTAAATTTTACCAAACATGTAAGGAAGATTTTATACTTAGCCTTCTTCAAACTATTTCAAAAAATAAAAAAAGGAAGAAGTGCTTCCAAATTCACTCTATGAGACCAGTACTACCATGACATCAAAACCAGACAAATATGTTATTTAAAAAAAGAAATTATAGACCAATATCCTCAATGAACATACATGCAAAAATACACAAGAAAGTATCAGCAAACTGAATTCAAAAATAAATTGAAAGAGGATGCTGGGGGAAAAATGGTGGAGTAGGAAAGCAAGGTAGAAACATCCCACAAAACACCAAGGAAGCAACTACAGTGAATACAACTAACCCTGAAAATGACCTGAGCACTGCAGAACAGACCATCTACACCTGAAAAGAAGACACACAGAGAAGTGTAAAGTGGTGTAGCTGCAACCCAGGGAATACACAAGCCCTTCCCCAATCCCAGCCCACAAGTGGGAGGGAGAGGAATGGACTGAGGAGGGGTAAGTGCTCAAGAACTCTATGCACCCGGTCCTGGAGATCTGCTCTGGGAACATGAGTCCACACTGCATTGGGTTTTGGTGATTAATGGGGCTGGACACGAGGGAAACTTGGAGCACTCTAGGAGGCTGAGACTCCAGCCATTTGCAGAGGACAGGCACACTCTGATGGTCCCACTAACACCCAAAACAGAGACAACAGTTTGAAAGATTTGCCAACACTGGGATGGATATCAGAAGGCATGAGGGCTGGACAGAGCTCTTCCCCCAGCAGAAAGGGCAGGTGGATGACACTCCCCAGCCCTTCCTCAGCCCAACTGGTCAGGCACTCCCTGGAGCCATCCCCAAATGCTTCATCCCCCTGGATGGTGACTCAAGCCCGAGGTGCTTCTCTGCACACCCCCTGCCCACCCAGCCTAGCAACAGTCAGACTTTGCTGCCTGGCAGGTGGAGAGAGGCTTTTCCAGCTGTCCTGGCTATCTCTCAGCCCAACTTCAGAGATGCCTGCAGGATCCAGGTCCAAATTCTCCTTTCCCTTGCTGGTAGCCCAGCCATATGCCAAACTCCCCCTCACACCTCCTCTGCCCATTCCATTGGCCCATCACTGCCACCATCACTACCAGGAGGAAGAAAGGTAGCCCAACCATCAATGACCTCAACAGAAATGATGCTGCACAGCTCATATAGGGCAGCAACTCACAAAGGGGCGCTGATGACAGAGACCAACCACTGCTGGCAGACAGGCAGAAAGGCAGCCCTGCCCACAGCTCACCAACAGGAACTGCAGCTCCACCATAAGGGAAGACCAGGCACAGGTGGGCAGACAGTCTTGAGCTTCTGGGCATCAAAGGACACATTCTTCAGAGAAAGTCATTATCCTCTAGACCAAGAGGCATGGCAGATCTAATATAAAGGAAGAAACAGAAACACAGACAAAATGAGGAGGCAGAGGAATAAGTTCCAAAAAGGATAAAACACCAAAAAGAGGGTCAAATGAAACAAAGATAACCAATATTCTTGATAAAGATTAAAAATAATTATCATAAATATGCTCACTGATCTGCAGAAAAGTATTTCAGGGAGAACTTTAACAAATAGAAGATTTGAAAAAGAGCCACTCAGAACTGAAAAATACAGTAAAAATTAAAAACAGAATGGAGGGAATGAATAATTGTTTGCTGCAAATAGAGGAAACAATTAGGACATGGAAATTAAAGAAACAAGGAAACAATGAAGCTGAGGAACAGAGAGAAAAAAGAATAAACTGAAACGAGATGTAAGAGAGCTGTGTGACAACTCCAAAAGAAACAATATCTGCATAATAGGGGCACCAGGAGAAGAGACAAAGGAGTAGACCATTTGTTTGAAGAAATAATAGCTGAAAATACTTCCCCAATCTGGGGAAGGAAATAGACAGTCAGGTCCTGGAAGCACAGAGAGTCTTTAACAAAAGGATCCCCCAGGAAGACAACACCATATAATTAAAATGACAAAGATTAAGGATAAAGAGAGGATATTGCAAGCAGCTAGAGAGAGGCAAAATATTACTTACAAGGGAAACACCATAAAGAAATCAGCATATTTTGCAGCAGAAACTTTACAGGCCAGAAGGGAGCTACATGAAATATTTAATGTATTGAAACAGAAAGACCTTCAATCAAGAACCCTCTACCTAGTAAGGTTATCATTTAGAATTGAAGGAGAGACTAAACGTTTCCCAGATAAATGAAATTTAAAAGTATTCACCTCCACTAAAACAGCCCTATAGGATATGTTAAAAGGACTTCTGTAGATAGAAAGGAAATTTCTGTTTGTTTCTTTGTTTTTTAACAGGAGAAAAAAAGTTTAATTACATACATGGCCATAGATATGGGTCCCCAATGGAAATGTTTTGAAGCCTAATTGTTTTTCATTGCAAAAATAAACTCATAGAAAAGTAGTAGACCAATTCCTAACTAAGCAAATATGAAGCTAAAAAAAAAAAACAGGAAAAAATCCCAAAAGTAGTAAAATCAACCACACACAAAATCAGTCAAGGGATACTCAAAAAATACAGATTATGATATCTATACTCAAAGTGTGCAGGAGGAAGAAAAAAGTACTTATAGACTGTTCAAAATAGAGCAACCATCAACCTGTTGTCTATTTAGGAAACTATGAACCTTATGGTAACCACAAGCCTAAAGCCTAAAATAGATACACAAAAAAAATTTTTAAAGAGAAATCTAATCACAACACTAAACGAAACTATCAAATAACAAGAGAATAGTATAAGAGAGGAACCACAAAGACAACCAGAAAATAACAAAAATGGCAATAAGTAAATACACATCAATAATGACCTGAAATGTAAATGGACTGAATGCACCAAAGGACTCTGGGTGGCAGAATGCAAACAAGACCCATCTATATGCTGCCTACAATACACCTCCTTCAGACCTAATGACATACACAGACTGAAAGTGAAACTATGGAAAAGGCATTTCATGCAAATAACAGGAAGAAAAACAGGAGTAACAATAATTATATCAGAAAAAATAGAGCTCAAAACAAAGAAAGTTACAAGAGACCAAGAATGAATGCCATAATGATAAAAGAGTCAGTCCAACAAGAGGATATACCAATTATAAATATCTATGCACCCAACATAGGAGCACCTGAATATGCAAAACAAATAATACTAACAGAATTAAAGGAGAAATAGACTGCAGCTCAATAATATTAAGGGACATTAACAAACCATATACATCAATGGACAGATCAACCAAACAAAAAATAAGGAAACACAGGCACTGAGCAACACACTAAATCAGATAAACTTTGCAGATCATTCCACCCAAAAGCAGTAGGATACACATTTTTTCCAAGTGCACATGGAATGTTCTCCATAAGAGGTCACACATTAGGACAGAAGTATATTTAAGAAGATTAAAATTGTATCAAGCATCTTTTCAGATTGTAACGATACGAAACTGGAAGTAAATTGCATGAAGAAAACAAAAACCCACAAACACATGGAGACTAAGCAACATGACCCTAAATAATCAACAGATCAAGAACAAAGAAGAAATCAAGGAAAACATGGAGACAAATGAAAACCAAAATAAAACAGTTCAAAACATGTGGGATGCTGCAAAAGCAGTGCTAAGAGGAAAGTACACAGCAATCCAGGCCTACCTCAAGAAATAAGAATAATCCCAAATAAGCAGTCTAAAGTCACAACTGAACAAACTAGAAAAAGAACAAATGAAAAAGTTAGTAGAAGGAGGGACATAACAAAGATCAGAGCAAAAATAAAATAGAGAATAAAATAGAAAAAAATCAATAAAACCATGAGCTGGTTCTTTGACAAAATAAAATAGACAAACCCCTAGCCAGACTTATCAAGAAAAAAAGAGAGAGGAACAAACAAAATCAGAAACAAAAAAAGGAATAGTCACAACAGATGCCATAGAAATACAAAGAGTAGAGAATTTTATGAAAAACCATATGCCAATAAATTGAACAACCTAGAAGAAACAGACAAATTCTTAGAAAAGGACAACCTTCCAAGACTGACCCAGGATGAAACAGAAAATCTGAACATATCAATAACCAGTAATGAAATTGAGTTGGTAATCAAACAACTCAACAAACAAAAGTGCAGGACCATATGGCTTCACAGCTGAATTCTATGTAACACCCTTCTTAAAGTATTCCAAAAAGTAGAAGAGGAGGGATTATTTCCAAACTTATTCTATGAGGCCAGCATTACTCTAATACCAAAATCAGATGAAGTCACTACAAAAAATAAAATTTTAGACCACTATTCCCTGCTGAGCACAGATGCAAAAATACTCAACAAAATATTAGCAAGCTGGATTCAAAAACAGATCAAAAGGATCATCCATTACGACCAAGTGGGACTTATTCCAGGGATGCAAGGATGGTACAATATTCATAAATTGATCAATGTGATACACCACATTAACAAAAAGGATGAAAACCACATGATCATCTCAACAGATGCTGAAAAAGCCTTTAACAAAACTCAACATCCATTCATGATAAAAACTCTCAACAAAATGGGTGTTGAGGGTATATACCACAACATAATAAAGGCCATATATGACAAATGCACAGCTAACATCATAATCAATGGGGAAAAGCTGAAAGCTTTTCCTCTAAAATAAGGAACAAGACAAGAATGCCCAACTTTCACTACTTTTATTCAATGTAGTACTGGAAGTCCTAGTCAGATGAACTTAACAGATATATATATAGAACATTCTACCCCAAAGCAGCATGGTACACATTTTTCTCTAGTGCACCTGGAACGTTCCCAAAACTGATCAAATATTAGGACACAAATCAATTCAAAAAGATTAAAATTGTATTAAGTACCTTTTCAGATCACAGTGATATGGAACAGGAAGTAAATTTCATGAAGAAAAAAACACACAAACACATGGATGCTAAACAACATGCTTCTAATAATCAATGGATCAAGAATGAATCAGATTAAAGATGGCAGAGTGGGAAGGCAAGGCAAAATCCTCCTCCAAAAAACACATAAAAGAATAAAACACACAAATACAACTAACTTGAAAATGACCTGAAGACTGCAGAACAGGTCACATACACATGAAGAAGAAAAGACCATAGAAAAAAGGGTAGAGTAACAAAGCCAAAGTCAAGTAGGACCCAAGCCCTCCCCCAATCCCAGCTTATAGGCAGGAGAAAGAGGAATGTAGTAGGGAAGAAACAGAAACCCAGGACCACTGCACACCTGGCCCTGAAGATCTGCCCTGGGATCATGGGCCCACATGACACCAGGTGCTGGTGAGCAGTGGGGCTGAACACCAGGGACAGGTGGAACACTCTGGGAGGCTGAGACTCCTCTCAGTGTGGAGGGCAGGCACACTCCATCAGTCCTGAGACCCAAAGCAGAGGTGGCAGTTTGAAAGACTTGCCAAGCAGTGGGAGGGGTACCAGAGGGGCAAGGGTTGGAAGGAACTCTCAGGAGAAAGGGCAGGTGGATCATATCTCTCCAGCCCTCCCTCAGCCCAAAACACTGGGAACTCTCGGGAGCCCGAGATGCTCTATTCCCCTTGCTGTCAATACAGCCCCAAGACTCCTCCCTGTGAGCACTTCTGGGAGCCAACCCACTAGGCCCAGTGGAAGCATCAGATTTTGCTGCCTGGGAGGCAGAGGGAGACTCCCCCAGCTCCATTTCAGCCCAACCAGGGAGGTGCCTACAAGAAGCCAGCCCCAAGAGCTCCTTCCTCCCCAAGGGTGCCCAAACAAAGTGCTGTGCATTTGCCCTGGGGCACAGCCAAACATCAGTCCACCCAACCATTAACCATGCAGCCCCACCATTGCTGCAGGCCAGGCAGAGGGTGGACCCACACACAGCAAGCTCAACAGAGACTCCTGAGTTGATCACAAAGGTGCGGCTGGAGTAAACTGCCCACCCAGAGTTAGGCCACAACAGAGCCAGACAAAAAGGTGGCTCTGCCCATCAGCTGGGGTCTGCACAAAATAGAACCAGGCACTACAGAGTGAAGAATCTTGAACTTGTGGGCACCACAGCACAACTTATTCATAAAGTTATCACTTTAGAGGCCAGAAAGCATGCAGAGATGCACAATATAAAGGAAGAAACACAGAAACCAGAAAAAATGAGTAGGCAGAGGAATATGATCCAAATAAAACTATACGACAGAACCCCTAAAAGATGCATAAATGAAAGAGATCACCAATCTTTTTGATAAAGATTTCAAAATAAAAGTCATAAATTTGCTCATAGATTTACAGAAAAGCATTCAAGATCTCAGGGAAAACTTCAATAAAGGGACAGAAAACCTGAAAGAGAGCCACTGAGAGATGAAGAATATACTATCTGAGATGAAACATACAATAGA